TTATTATATTTTTTTTTTAATAAGTGGATTTTTTCTGTTGTCAATCAATTTCACAATAAACCATATTTATCTATATACCTTATCTTAACTCACTTTCAAACATTTTATCTAAGATTGAGCTTGAACTTTATTATATTTTTTTTAATAAGTGACTTTCTTCTATTGTCAATCAATTTCACAATAAACCATATTTATCTATATACCTTAACTCACTTTCAAACATTTTATCTTCTATTAGTAATTCATTGGGCGGGATTTTTTCCCTCCATAATTTCAGGTATGCGAATGATATGCGATATATCGCACATTGTTCGACGTGCTGCGAATAAAGGTTGGCAGGTTGCGTCTTTTACACTCTCAATTAAATGACAGTCTTCGGCGCATTAAAAACAATTTTCTTATTTTACGTAGTATATGTTTTTAAACAGATATGCGAAACATAATGCAATTTACTGTCAAAACATTATGCGACTGAAATGCGATTTTGAAGAGTCGCTCCGAAACGTCCCCTCAGTATTTGGCAAATTAATAACAGCGCGCGTATCAAGGAGGATAGATATCTTCTTTAACCAGATATGCGAAATCATTTATTGTAAATACGTTATGCGAATGAAGTGCGATTCATCGCATTTTGTTCGCAGTGCTGCAAATTTGAAGAGTCGCTCCGAAACGTCCCCTCAAGTCTTTGGCAAATTAATAAGGCGTATCAAGGAGGATAGATATCTTCTTGATTAACCAGATATATGCAAAATCATTTATTGCCATAAAGTTATGCGAATGAAGTGCGATTCATCGCATTTTGTTCGCAGTGCTGCGAATTTGAAGAGTCGCTCCGAAACGTTCCCTAAAATCTTTGGCAAACTAATAACGACGCGCTTATCAAGGAGGATAGTTATCTTTTTTAACCAGATATATGCGAAATCATTTATTCATATAGTTATGCGAATGAATTGCGATTCATCGCATTTTGTTCGCAGTTCTGCGAATTTGAAGAGTCGCCTCTTCTCCGAAACGTCCCCTCAGTCTTCGGCAAATTAATAACGACGCGCGTATCAAAGAGGATAGATATCTTCTTCAGTCCTCTATAAAAGGCAACTGAGATGAGACAATTGATTTAGGATCAGGACCCATCTCCCAATTCTATAACTCCCGATTTTCCTCAACATGCCGGTTAATGTAGTCTTCATTGATGGCATATTGAGGAAAATCGAAGGTTGAAGAATTGAGAAATGGGTCCTGATCCTCCTGTTGTCTTTGAGGGCGTGCTCTCTTTCACCGTCGTAGCCTCCTCAATCAAGTATACCTCGAAAGTCCAAGCACTCGCCCTGGAGATCCCACGTCTGCCTAGGCACATGGTAACCTCTCATTTAAAGCTAAAAACATTAGAAACTGATGAGAAAGCTGTTGGAGACCATGTGTTTGGGAAGACGTGGAATCTCCGGCGAATTGCTTGGTCTTCCGGGGTTTACTAGATTGAGGCGCCTACGATGGCGAGGGAGCACACCTTCAAAGACAAAGGTTCTTGTTCTTTCGGGGTATACTACTTTTTTTTATCGGAAGTCAGACCATTGATATAAATCCCGTTTTCCATTTTCTTCAACTAGTGTACAAAATTCAGTGGCAAAGACAGATGTGAAAACGAAGATTCAAAGTCAAACAAGGGATGACGATTAATTTCGTTCGACTCACAGACCTATCCCTTCTAACAAACAATGGCGAGAAGATCCTGTACCTCCTCTGCAACAGACTCCTCTGCCCAATTGGTTCGAGAGGCAGATTGCGGTATGAGGAAACAGTGAACGTAGTACCGGGGTTTTAGTAGTACCTCATATATTGGAGGGCTTAAAGGTTCAAAGCATACCGGACAATCTAAAACTTCTGGCTCGGTTATGGTCACTGAAACTTGTTACTGAACGTAGCATGGGGTAAAATATTAGTTGAGTTGATGTAAAGTAGTTGATTCGATGTAAAAGTGCGACATGCATACGTCGCATATCATTCGCCTAATTGGTGCATAATTTATATTATAAAAGTTTTTTCGATGTAAAGTAGTTGAGTCGATGTAAAATTGCGACATACATACGTCGCATATTATTCGCAGAATTGGTACATAATTAATTATAATATTAATTTTCTGGAAAGTTCTTTGTCTGTGAATTAAATATAAATTTAAGACGACGTCGCATATCATTCGCAGAATTGGTGCATAATTAATTATAATATTTATTTTTTGAAAAGTTCTGTCTATGAAATAAATATAACTTTAAGACTACGTCGCATATCATTCGCAGAATTGGTGCATAATTAATTATAATATTTATTTTTTGGAATGTTCTTTGTCTGTGAATTAAATATAAATTTAAGACGACATCGCATATCATTCGCAGAGTTGGCGCATAATTAATTATAATATTTATTTTTTGGAAATTTCTGTCTGTGAATTAAATATAAATTGAAGAATACTATTAAATGAATGAACCTGCGACTATTACTTCGAAACTATTCCGCATAATAACTTTATAACACTCGTACTATAACGAATAAAATTTAATTTTTTTATGTATTTGTAAATTTTCTATTCGGCGACGTACGAAATTGTGACATACGAACGTCGCATATTAGTGCCCGAGTTGGTAAATAGTTAAAAGTTTTTGAAAAGTTTTTGGTCTGTGACTAAATTATTAATAAATTGAAGACTACTACTATTAGGTCAATGAACCTGCAATTATTACTCGAAACAATTCCGCATAAAAACCGCATAACACTATTACAATAAGGACTAACATATATTTTTTTATTTTTGTTTTTGTAAATTTCTATTAAGCGACATACAAACGTCGTATATTTTTGGAGAGTTGTAAATAATAATTTTTGGAAAATTCTTGTTCTTTGACTAAATTAATAAATTAAAAAAAAAAACTATTAGGTGAAAAAAAAGCGGTGCGTAACACTATTCGAAATGTGTTCGCATATTGATACATTTATGCGAGTTTTATATGGATATGCGATTCGTAACTATGCGAAAACATAACGCATAAGCGATAGTTATCTAAGCCTTTGGATATGCGAATCGTAAATTATGCGAACATATGCCGCATAGTCGCATACTCATAAATGATGCAGTTTGGATATGCGATAATCTAATTACGCGACAGTGTTCCACATATCCTAAATGATGATGCGGTTGATCTGGCCTGGATATGCTATTAAAAAATATAAATTACTTTTATTTATTTTTTTGCACTACGTTATGCGAGAACAATGCGATCATCGCACTTTGTTCACAGTTCTGCGAATTTCCTTTCAATAATATTTTCCCTTCGAATATTGTCGCTGATTTTGTTGGGAAAACTCTGTTCACGGACATTAATAGTTTAATTGTCCATGCAACATATTGTTTTGTTTTGACATATGAATCATGATTAAACAAACACGTACTTGACAGAAGAAAAAAATATTTATTATTACTGCAGTCAGTCCAACAAAATAAGCCAAAAAACTTTTCATTACATGTCCAGTGGATTCTAAGGGTCGATATCGATGACTTCTAAGTCTATCGCCGCTGCATTGCGCTCGGTAAAAACCTCGTAAC